CCAAAAAAGAATCCCCCTCGTCCTCACGTACCACCCCACCAACCTCCGGATCCAACGCATCATCCTCCGACACTTCCGCCATCTGCAATCCGACCCCACCACCAAAGACATCTTTCCCTCCCCACCTTTATCTGCTTTCCGGAGGGACAACTCTCTCCGTGACTCCCTTGTCCGCTCCACACTCCCCTCCAGCTCCACCACACCCGGCACTTTTCCCTGCAACCGCAGGAAGTGCTACACCTGCCCCCATACCTCCTCCCTCACCCCCATCCCAGGCCCCAAGAAGACTTTCCACATCAAGCAGATGTTCACCTGCACATCTGCCAATGTGGTATACTGCATCCGCTGTACCCGGTGTGGCTTCCTCTACATCGGGGAAACCAAGCGGAGACTCGGGGACCGCTTTGCAGAACACTTACGCTCGGTTCGCAACAAACAACTGCACCTCCCGGTCGCGAACCATTTCAACTCCCCCTCCCATTCCTCAGACGACATGTCCATCCTGGGCCTCCTGCAGTGCCACAACGATGCCACCCGAAGGTTGCAGGAACAGCAACTCATATTCCGCTTGGGAACCCTGCAGCCCAATGGTATCAATGTGGATTTCACAAGTTTCAAAATCTCCCCTCCCCCCACCGCATCCCAAAACCAGTCCAGCTCGTCCCTGCCTCCCTAACCTGTTCTTCCTCCCACCTATCCCCTCCTCCCACCTCAAGCCGCACCTCCATCTCCTACCGACCAACCTCATCCCGCCCCCTTGACCTGTCCGTCCTCCCTGGACTGACCTATCCCCTTCCTAACTCCCTACCTACACTCACCTTTCCTGGCCCCATCCCCGCCTCTTCGACCTGTTTGTTTCCTCTCCACCTATCCTCTCTATCCCTCTTCTATCCGCCTCCCACTCTCTCCCTATTTATTTCGGAACCCCCTTCCCCTCCCCCTTTTCTGATGAAGGGTCTAGGCCCGAAACGTCAGCCTCTCTGCTCCTATGATGCTGCTTGGCCTGCTGTGTTCATCCAGCCCTGCACCTTGTTGTCGAGGAAATTTATATGTTGTGAGATTCCACTGTAAAATCACCATCTTAATCATGAATGTGTAAATTGCTAAGGCAACAACTATACACTTTATTCCCAAACATCTAGGTCAGTAGAACTCTTCAAAGTATAGAATTACAGAACTCCTACAGGGTGGAAGTTGGCATCCAGTCCATGCCAAGCCCCCAAAGAGCACCCCACACTGTTATCTTGCATTTCCTGTGGCTAATCCACCTAGCCTACACATCCCTGGACACTATGAGCAATTTAACATGGCCAATCCACCTGGCCTACACATTTTTAGACTGTGGGAAGAAACCCCCACAGACACAGGGAAAATGTGCAAACTCCACACAGACAGTTGCCTGAGGGTAGAATTGAACCTGGGTCCCTAGCACTGCCAGGCAGCAGTGCTAACCACTGAACCATCACACCACCTCATGTTAGTCCTCATTAAAACCTGTTATTTTGTTTTGGAAGCCCCAGTACAGAGGTTTCAGTGCAGAATGTATGCTATATGGTTGGAGGTACCTTTCGTTGGATGAGACTCTATGACAAAGCCCTGTGTGTCCTCCTGGTGAATATTGGATCTTACAGCAGCACACTGCACCTTGGCCAACAACTATCCCTCAACCACCATAAAACAATGAAATGATCTGGTCTTTCACTATTTGTAGAGGTGTGCTGTGGCAAATTGACTACCACATTCCCCTAAATTGAGATAGACTGATTTTTAATCAGTAAGGAAATCAAGGGTTATAGGGAAAACCAGGAAAATGGAGTTCAAGATTACCAGATCAGCCATAACCTCATTGAATAGCAGAGCAGACTGGATGGACTGAATGGCCTACTTCTCCTTTTGGTTTTATTATGGTCATTACAACAGCAAAACACTTCAAATGTGGTCCATTTGCAATAAAACACTTTTGAGATGTTCTGCAGTCGCAACAGATTTGATACAGAGAAGTTTCTTTTCTTTTTGGATATGAGCCGTGTCACTCAGCCACATGCTTAGGGACAATGAAGATGCTGATATTTTGATTATAACACAGTTCCTTTTCTCCTGCAGGTTGTTAAAATGATGATTGTGGTAGTGTTTACCTTCACCATTTGCTGGCTGCCATACCACGTCTTCTTTCTTGTGACCAAACAGCATCCACACATCAACAGCTGGAAGCCCATACAACAGGTTTATTTAACAGTGTTCTTGCTGGCAATGAGTTCCAACATGCATAACCCCATCATATACTGTTGTCTAAACAGCCGGTAAGTCTGGAAAAGTCTTGTTTGGGGATATTGTGGGAATGGGAAATTTTTCCACCCAGCATCTACTTGCACAGATTTTGTGGCTTGTAACTGGTTCCTTATTCCTTCCATGATTGCTTGGTGGCCATTTTCAATTTACCCAATTAGCAGATGCAAAGCGGTCATTTTTGGGGTCGCATTGTTTGCTTTGTCTTTTGCTTTCTTCACACAAAATAGATCAAACCAGTGGGCAAATGCTGACCTGTTCGGGCTCAGAAGGTCCCAGTTTTGATTGCAAGTTTTATCAGGCTAGTTTGGCCACTGTATTTTTAGGGTTATCCAACTTACAGCAGCATTCCTGAGAAAAGTAAGGGGAAGCCTGTCCATAATTCTCGCTCCCAATTATTTCTGGTGATCCCTAATGGAAGCGTGTATAGTGTGTGTGGTAGGATGGGGTTTGAATGCCCAGGGGAAACATTATGCCTATGAAGAAATCATATGGACGAAGTCATTTGTAAAACTAGTCCCCAACCCAACAACCACCCACACCACTCACAAAACTACCTCCTAACCACCGGTATGAATCATCAATACCTGCTCTTCTGCAGTTTAATAACACTCCCCATAGAGGAGTGCCTCACCTTCTCCTCCACTTGCCCCTTAAAACACACACCCTTCTTAAGGTAGTCAAAACTATCCTGCCCAATGCCATTTACTGATTGACCTGAGGGGACGAGTTTGGCTGGACACCTGGGTCTGTGACGCAGAGTGATGTCAACAGTATGGATTCAATTCCCGCACTGGCTAAGATTACCACAAAGGCTCCTCCTTCTCAATCTCTCGCCTCGCCTTGGGTATGGTAACCCTTGGGTCCCACCAACACCAGTTGTCTCTCTAATGAGAGAGCAGGTCTGCTAAGAGCAGGGCGACTTGACCTTTTCTGAGGAAGGGTCACCGGACCCGAAACGTTAACTCTGTTTTCTCCTCCACAGATGCTGCCAGGCCTGCTGAGCTTTTCCAGCAACTTTGTTTTTGACCTTTACTAGCCTGGGTCGCAGGTTCCATTGTGTCTTCTTTCTAGGCCTGCCCACTCTCCAGGACTGCTGGAGCTGCTGATCAATCTGATTGGCCGGCAGCTCCAGAAGGTGGGGCTTGCTCTCACTGAGGCACAGACTGACGGGGCACTCTGTGTTAATTTACCCACGATGCTGCAGGGTAGGCTTCTTCATGGCCTGTCAGCTGGCCACTGACTTCCCTTTTGGGAAGGTGGGGTGTCCATTCCCCCACCCTCTGTGAAATTCTGCCCCACGTTTAAGCAGTCGTGAATCTGAAGGCACGTGTTTCTCATTCGCTGATTATTTAATTGAAAATGTACGGATCATTCTGCTGAGACTACCTTTTAATAATATCTAAATATATTTTAAAAATAGTAAGACCTTGACAATCAACTTCACACAATGGAGTACAAATTGGGAATCCAAGAAGGTGCCTCAATTCCCACTGGTTGCACAACATCAGTAAGTTCTGCATCTAGTGCAAGGAATATGAACAATTATCTGTGGATTTAACTCACTGTCTAGAACTTGTGATTTATGAAAAGTTTTGCGTGCTAAATCTGTGTCCATTTTCTCAGGACCTGTTATTTAAGAACCTTTCTCCATCTACCACAACAGAAAACATCCTAAACCAAAACAAAAGGACATACCTGACTGATTATGATGTTTTAACCCTCCTTCATCTTTCTTGGCCTATTGACACACTCAAAAATCATGCCATACTTCTCCCACTGTTCTTCTGTATTGGGACAGCCTCACTTGATTCCTCTTTTACCAATCCAGCCATAATCTCCAATAGTGACTTGTATTTCCATCCACAAAAAAAAGTCTTGCAGAAATCTATTCTTAGACCACTCTCCAATCTCATCTTTGTGTTATGCCTTGGACACATCATCTATAGATATAGTGTCAGCTTCCATCAATGCACTAATGATACCAAACTCTACTTTTCCATTATCCCTTAGTTGTGTTCTTTTCATGTGAATTTCCAATTTGCCAGAATTTCAGATGCTTGAATCACTGTTCTTGAATTCCTTCCTAAATCCTTCACACCCATTCACCTTTCTATCCTCTTAAAAGGACTTCCTTTAAATCTCTATTAATGAAGCTATTGATCACCAGTCTTAACATTTCCTCTTTTAACTTGGCACAGTTTTTTTTTCAGATTGTGTCTTGAAATATTTTTCAATCCAAAATGAGCTAGTTAAATCCAAAACCCATTAAATTCAATTAAACCCGTTGCCTCTGCCTGCTCCTGCCCCACCTGAACTCATCTGTGCTTACCTTGACTCTGTTTTCTCCCCTGAACCCCCTCACCTCCACCCCCAACGGTCCAGGAATTCCCCACCTATGTCCGAGACACCACCCACGCCCTTCAGCTCCTCCACGACTTCCAATTCCCTGGCCCCCAACACCTCATCTTCACCATGGACATCCAATCCCTGTACGCTTGCATTCCCCACGCGGATGGCCTAAAAGCCCTCCGCTTCTTCCTCTCCCACAGGCCCAACCATTCCCCCCTCCACAGACACCCTTATCCACTTAACTGAATTCGTCCTTACCCTTAACAACTTCTCCTTCAACTCCTCCCACTTCCTACATACTAAGGGGGTCACTTGACCTGAAACGTTAACTCTGATTTCCCTCCACAGATGCTGCCAGATTTGTTGAGTTTTTCCAGCAATTTTTGTTTTTGTTTCTGATTTCCAGAGTCCTCAGTTCTTTCAGTATTTTTTTGTTTAGCCAAAGTGCTTATGTTGTTCTGATCTGTAATGTAGACCTTGAAGGAATGCTGGAAGCAGATTCATTGATAATGCGGGTGGCACGGTGGCTCAGTGGTTAGCACTGTTGCCTCACAGCACCAGGGACCTGAGTTTGATTCCACCCTCAGGTGACTGTCTGTGTGGAGTTTGCACATTCTTCCCGTATCTGTGTGGGTTTCCTCTGGGGGCTCTGGTTTCCTCCCACAATCCAAAGGTGTGCGGGGTAGGTGGAATTGGCCATGCTAAATTGCCCATAATGTCCAGGGATGGGTCTGAGTGGGATACTCTGAGGGTCGGTGTGGACTCGTTGGGCCAAAGGGCCTGTTTCTGTACTGTAGGGATTCTATGATTAAAAAATGAATTTGGTCTGAGCCCATGGACCTGGGCAGGGTCAGCTGTAGCGACAGTGTAATATGCTCCCTGGTACATATACCAATGAGGCTTAGCTTCAGCCCCTGCATTTTTGGGGTTGTGCCTCAGCAATGACCAAAAGCTTCACCATTCTGTTTTGTTTGCACACATGCAGGTTTCGAGCGGGGTTCAAGAGGGTTTTTCAATGGTGCCCCTTCATTGAATTTTCCACCTATGACAAACTGGAACTGCAATTGACCAGATTTCAGCCCACTCGACAGAACAGCGCCTATATCATCTCCCGCATGGAATCCAACATGACGGTGGAGTTTGACACGTCTGAGAATGATAGTGCAGAGGCTGGCAGTAAAAAGGGCACGACTTTACAGAATATGAGTTTTAATGGACACTCTCGACGTAACTCAAAGAACACTTCCATAAGCTCAAGCTTCTTCAGTCAGGCAAACACATCGTTGGACGAATACTCATAAAGCAGTAAATTGTATTTTTCCATTAGTCGACTGGGCATGCTTAACTGGTGCAGTTCAACATGGAAGCTGATTCCTTCGTATTAGGATCAGGTGGAGGCATTATTATGACAATTGACCATGAAGTCAACACTGCTCCAACAATGAAACTTGAATCTAGGTTGATGCTGCATTGTCAGGAATGCCATCCTTTGAGTGAGATAATAGGTCTATTTTTTATGGTTTTTTTTTACCATGTGTAAGCAGAACGTACTGCTCCATTCCTGCTGTAGATTCTGAACCACTGCGTATAGTGCTGGCCAGAGTTCCTCCCAGCTTCAGGCAAGAGCCTCCACTGATTGTGCAGACTGGGTCCCTAGTAGTTATGTAGGTTCCTATTGCACTGTTCATGTTCCAATAGATTGTCAGGGTATGTTTTGCCCATTGCTTTGAGACATAAGACAGCGTAGCCACTAGTCCTTAAAGGAAGCACTACAAACCACTCAAAGACCACATTATTAAGTAGTCAATGAAGTAAGGAGGTGAGGGGGGTGGGTAGAGTTGTGGAGGCAGGAACGGCACATTCACAATGCCTGGTAGGTGTCTCACTGACATAAAAATCATCCCCATTAAAGAGAAGCCGACTTTGTTGTTGAGGTGTTCATCAAATTTACCCACCCTATGGCACCAGTTGAAGATGAGCAGAAAGTTGTCCTGGCCTCTCACCATTCCTCAGCCAACAGCAGATTAATCAGATTGGCTGAATCTGGAATTTTGTTGACTACAATTTTGGCTGCCATGCATTCCAAACAATAAAGCAATGACTGCAGTGTTGAAACTGTGGAATTTATTGGGACTTTCTGTGACTATGAGAGGAGCAATCACACTGCAAGTTTGTTTCTTTCTTTTCCCTATTAAAATGGGAAGCAGAGTCCATGGTGTACCCAGCACCTTTTACAAATGCTCAGTAGCGTGTCTTTTTATGTGCCATTTTTGTGAAGTGTGTGAGTATTGTTTTGTCAAAATGGAAGTGGTCTGAGATTTGAAACTATATCAGTTTCAATAATCCCTCAAGGATTTTAAAAATGAATGCAGGGATAAATGTTTACTACTGGGAATGTGAGGGTTAAGGAAGACATGCTGATTAGAGCAGTTACAAATCGCCTGTAATTTTGTTTATTGCATTACCCAAACTTCTCAAATAATTACCAAGATTCCACGGTAACTCCAGTTCAGCTTTCCAGAATGCTAACGGAATAGGATCTTGAGCTAGATTTTCAGCCTTGAAATCCCCGAATGCATTAGCAGCAAGATGTCATCAAGAGCTTGAAGTTGAGCAGAGGATGAAATTAGATTTTTAACACTTATTTTTCCATGGGACCTGGGGATCCTAGGCAAGGCCAGCGTTTGTTGCTCATCCCTGTCCACCTTTGAACTGTGTGATCTGTGAGACAATTTGAGAGGACAGTTAAGGGTCAACTACATAGCTATAGGCCAGATTTTGTTATATTGCTTCATGGGATGTGGGCATCACTGACTAGACCAGCATCTAGTGCCCATCCCAGTTGCCCAGAGGGCAGTTAAGAGTCAACCACATTTCTGTGGGTCTGGAGTCACATGTAGTTCAAACCAGCTAAGGATGGTAGATTTCCTTCCCTAAAGGATACTAGTGAACCAGACGGGTTTCCGTAACAATTGATGATAGTTTCACAAGTCTCCATCACTGACACTAACTCCCGCTTCCAGATTTATGTAGAATGTGATCCAAAACAAAAAATGTCTGGGGACAGTACTGAATCTAAAACAACGGGAGGCTTGGAGAACAGCAGTAAACCCAGTCTATCCCTGTGAGATAGTATTCTAGATGTTGCACTTATCAGCTAGTTTCCAATGGCAACTATCACTGTTAGTATGAAAACCGTCAGTCACATTTCTAAGATACTGCTGATCTCCACACAAGAAAGCGAAAAGGCATATTAATGTTACCTTTTGAATGACAATGCACATCTAAGATTCTAAAGGATGACTGAAGTTTACTGGATTCGTGAAAGTTTGATTATCACAAAATGAAGACGTTCACCTTTTCATAGTGGGATTTGTATCCAAAATTAATTTAAAATCTCCTAACAGATGACGATGTTTCAAACTCACTCTGAAATGAAGGCTGCAGGATGCAGGATATTTAATTGGCTGTTCTTGGTGTAAGTGGCAGTGTATCAGCAGGTCTCTTCTGTGAACAATTATTCAGTATCCAAGTGACAAGGAAGGACTGAGAAACTGTGAGATTTCTTTTAACGTGACCTATAAAATCAGAGTTCTAATGCAATTGGCATGAAAGAAGGGTAATTTGCCACATCTCTGGTTAGCATCCACCAGTCCCGTCTCTCAATATTGATTCTAATAATCATATGTTGATAGTCAAAAGTGTGTTTGATTCATTATGTGTGCAAGATATTAAGTACTGTATGTAAACTGAGCAGACCCATATTAATATGCTATTCTATACAGGTAAATGATAGCTACTTGTTGATACTGAGGCTCACTTAGAACAGTGATCCACAATTAAGTTATAAGCTGCAAAAGTTCTTTCATTCTCATTTATCTCCTTGTCCATGTTATGTTTGGTTCAACCTACCTGCATAAGATTTTGGATAAGAACACAAAAAAGCTGTGGTCCAGCATTACCGTTTCTTTTCAAAGCCAGCATGTGTTGGCTTTCTCTTTTTTTAATCAAAATGCAAATCACTGAAAATGTTCAAGATTTAAGGCTTTTTACAGTATTTGTCTTGGGGTGTGGGTGTTGCAAGGACAGCATTTATTTCCCATCGTTAGTTGCCTGAAAAGTTGGTGATGAATCACTTCCTTGAACTACTCAGTTATAAGAAACTTATTAGAACTGAGTATCCTATTAACCAGTACAGACAGCAGTTAAGAATGTGGAACTGGAGTCATGTGTAGGTCACACCAGAAAGGATGACACCTTGCACATTCGTGAGCCAAGTGGGTTCCCACAACAGTCAAATGGCTTCATGTTTATATCCAGACTTTTAAAAAAACCATAAGATTCATAAACTGCAATGACCAAATTTGCATTGGATGCCCTGGATTAACAAACCTACTAACATAATGCTAAACTACAATATCCAGCAATGCTTTTAAGGGGCATGAATTCCATTCACTGCTGCATCTGCAGTTGAGCAGCTCAAGTCTCAAAACACATCATGTGATGAACTTCTCAGGAGTTAATAATGTCCTAACTTGTTCCGAGAGCTGGAATATGGGATATGTTGAATTTATCAAACAGTACTGCAAGCATGAAGACCAGCAGACAGCAATTCTAAAATAGATAATTAGTTTATTTCAAACACAAACCCAAGGCTATCTGGCTTCATCATGTTACCAAGGTGTTTAGTGAAGTCAGTCATGACAAACATACCATGGGCATAGTAAAAGCTTTGCTGGGATCCCAAGTGCTTTATTTTTTATTTGTTGCTGATAGGTGGGCATTGTTGACAAGGCTAACATTTATTGGCCATTCCTAATTGCTCTTGAGAAGATGGTGGTTAGACACGCCAGCTGCCTAAAGTCTGTTTTGTGGTGCTAGGAAGGGATTTTGAAGAATTTGATCCAGTGACATTGAAGGACGGTGATGTAGCTCCAAGTCAGGATGGCTTGTGACTTGGAGGGAACTCGTAGGTGGTTCTGTTTCTATGGACATGCTGCCCCTGGTCTCCTTTGTGGTGGTGCTACAGAAGAAGCCTTGGTAAACTTCTACATTGCATCTTGACAATGGTACATACTGCGACCATGCCTTCTTTGTGGTGGCCAATTTTTACTGGGTCTCCATGAAGCCATACTCAGGCAAATGCTACCTTGGGGTCACCTCACGCCCGAAGTTCAGCTGTTCTGCCCATGTTTGAATCAAGGCTGTATGAGGTCAGGAATCAAATGATCCTAGCAGGATCCAAACTGAACATCAGGTTATTGGAAGTGTTGCTTGATAGCATTGTTGATGGCATGTTCCATAGCTTTCGTTATATTAGTGAATAGACTGATTTGGCAGTATTTGGACAGATTAGATCTTTCCTATTTCTGTTAACAGAACTTATGTGGACATTTTGTACTTTTCTTGTGTAGATGCCAGTGTGCTGAACTGTCCTGAAGCAGTTCAGAGGAATAGTCACTGGACCCGAAATGTTAACTCTGATTTAATTTTCCCCACAGATCCTGTCAGACCTGCTCAGCTTTTCCAGCAACTTCTGTTTTTGTCCTGAAGCAGCCTGGCTAGGAGCTTGGCTATTTCTGGAGCATGTCCCCAGCACAATAGCTGGAATGTTATCTGGGCTCAGTTATAGAATCCCTACAGTGTAGAAGCAGGCCACTCAGCTCATCGAGTCCAGACCACCCCTCCGAAGAGCATCCCACCCAGACCCCCCCTACCCTAACCCTGTGTTTCCTATGGCTAACCCACGTAGCCTGCACATCCCTGGACACTCTGGCCAATTTAGCCTGGCCTATCAACCTAACCTGTACAGGTTTGGGCTTTGGCATCCAGAGGAAACACAGAGAGTCGTCCAAGGCCGGAATCGAACCCAGGTCCCTGGAGCAGTGCTAACTACTGAGCCACCGTGCCGCCTTACGTGATAGTACTATCTCTCCTTTTAGGAAGAAGTGAGTTTAAGTCCTACCCTAGGGCTTGAGTACTCCATGCCAACATTCAGCGCAGAACTGAGGGAGTGCAGCATTGTCAGAGGTACTGTATTTGAGGTTTTGTCTACCCCCTCAGGAGGATTCAAAAGGCACTATTTAAAAGAAGAGCAGTGGTGTTATCCCCAGCGCCTTGACCAATATCTATCTCTCAATCAATATCATGAAAACTAATTGTGTGGTGATTAGCACATCATTCTTTCTGGAGGCTTGTTCTATACACAGTGGCTGTTGCATTTTTCAGCAAGGACAATAGTGGCATCTCAAAGATCTTTCTTTTCTCATTGCTTTTGCTTTATCTGGCACACTCATGTCGCTGCCAAGCATCCCATATAAAAAAAAGATTTTGTGGTCAAATACAATTGGCCACTGATAACGCTGGGTGCTGCATGGATAGCCAGTTTTGATCAGCTAGATCTTCTCTAACTGTATCTCATTTAGTCCAGTGATGAGTTCAGGCAATATAACGGTGGATGCTTGCAGCATGAAGTTAGGACTTTGACTCCACGAAGACTTTAATGGAGTGACGCATCTTTGACTGGTGGGTTGGTGAGAAAGGTGAGCAGATTTGTAGGTTCTTACTCACATTGTGCATCACAAGGTTTCGTCCACTCAGCATTCCTCAGCGTTCCCATGGACACTAACTTGAGGTACATGGTGAAAACCTATTTCATTTTGAAGAAAGTACTAAACAACCATTCACCAACCCACCCAAACAATATCAACCAAGTCAAGGGATCATTTAGATCAAGGGTCATCTGTAAAGGAGGTAGCTCTCTACATGATATGATTTATGCCCCAGTCAAGAACTGGTCCAGTTTCTTGAAATTCCTAAGGTTCCTTCAATTTGTTTCTTGCTCCAGTCAACTGAGTTTCTGATTTACACTCTCTGATTTTCACTTCCACTAAATGAGATTCTCTTTTCCACCCTCTGCAGCATGATTTTGTAGAATTTCCTCAAAGCTGCTTTTCATTCTTTGTCCATCTCATTTTCTCATGCCACAGCTCTCAAGATCATCCATGGCTCTGAATTTCCTTGGAACACAGCCAGTTAGACAGGTGATAGTAAATCTTGTTATCTGCCTCACCTCCAACAGACTCACAGCTGAAATTCAGGGCTTAGACATTACCTAATGTCAAACAAACGAAACAGCATGACAACAGAGCAAAAACATAGAAAATAGGAGCAGGGGTAGGCCATTCGGTCCTTTGAGCCTGCCTGAAACAGCTGATGATACTGGAGACAGTCACATGCTAAAACATTGTTTGAGCCACTCATATGTTCCTGATTGAGTCTATTCTACACTGGGGTCAGTGAGCACAGGTTAGGTGATTATATCACTGGATACCAAAATTGTGTTTGCAGAGGTGACCCTGAACACTCTCATTGCTTGTGATTTCAGCCCTGTCCCATTTTCACTGACCACTCGCGGTTTGGCGTTTATGACGACTTCAGTGTGAGCTCAAGGATCAGTTCCTTGTTTTACCACAATTCACTTTGCAGTCCTCTGATCTGAACATTAACATGATCAACTTCAGGCTGCAAACACAGTTCCTTTTTACTCATAGCTGTCGGTGCTGGGATGATGGTGTGTATTTTTCTGAAGTCAGGTGAAGAAAGCAGTTTGTCTTGGTTGTTAGCCTGCTTTCTATTTTCTGCCAGTCTCCTGGTTACTAAATCTGCTCTGTCTTGCTAGATTTTTGACCTTTCCTTTCTACCAAACCCTTTAAATATTCAAGCACTCTCCCTGCCTCACATATGCCTTTCCATTGATTTCACTCCTTTCATTTCATGTTAAAAACACACCTGCCATTTAACCATCTCTTGTCCTTCATCCAAGCACTTAACAGGGTTGTTCTATTTCTTTTCACATGGATAATTGTATTTCACTCCCCCTTATCCCTTTCACTCATTGTGTTCCTTTTTAATTGCCACTTATCTGTAAAGTTGCTTAGTCTTCAGGAAAAACAAGATAATCTTAACAGTTGATGCTTATTCAAACATGTTATCTAACAAGTTGAATGTTTGCAGTTTTTTTTACAATTATATTTAATTGATTTGCTTTGTATAACCTGATTGTTATGTTGTAGTTATGACTGCATGCACCTGTACGATGCAGTCAAAAGTTTCAATTTCCATGTATTTGAACATTATCATTGTTTAACTTGTGATGTTTTCTTCTGTGTTTGAGCTACAGCTTTAACCTTCTAAAAATGGATTTTCATTACAGCTTACAATGTCTATGTTGTGTAATATGAAGAGCATTGCCACAAATTTCTCTGTTGTAAATTGCCAAAAGTTATGAAGTGAAATTGAGTATTCCAAACAGTGTCGTTGTGTGCTTCAATGTAGATTCTGTGTCAAAATGTGAAGCATGCAATTAGATATGTTTTGGTCTGTTTCAAAGTACCTCAAGTCAGAGTTTTATGTATTGTGTTGTTATTTAAAATAAAGCCAAAAATGCAGAGCAATATATAACATCAAAACGTGTGAAATTCACAATATAGAGATGTTAGGTAACAACACCAATGGAGACAAGATAGACAGAATATGTATCCTGACGTATCTTGTCATGAAAAAGAAAAAGCCATGAAACAAGATAAGTATATTGTGTCAAAAAGTTCAGTTAAGAGATTTTGGGTATGGAAATGTGGGAAACCAATCCTTCAGTGAAGTCTTACTCCAAGCTTCCAATCCCGTCTCTTTCATCTCCTCATCATAATAAATAGATTTCCATTAAGATATCTGCAGTCTGAACTGAAACTGTATAAAGCTCAGTCTGAAGGCTGTGTGTTGGAAGTCTTACTTCAGAGATTTGAGTACATTATCTAGGCCATGTTTAGGGTAAGACTTTAAACTGAATCTCTTCTCGGACTGACATAAAAGATGTCATTTACTGTGTGGATGAATGTCATAGAAGTCCTCCTCAACTTAACAAAATAATTGAATATTTGTTCATTATCTCACTTGCTTATAAAAATCATAAGAGAACCATATGATATAGGAGCATACAGGGTGGCTCAGTTGTTAGCACTGCTGCTTCACAGCTTCAGGAACACAAGTTCAATCCCAACCTCAGGCAACTATCTGTGTGGAGTTTGCACATTCTGCCATTATCTGTGTGGGTTTCGTCCAGGTGCTCCAGTTTCCTCCCACAATCCATAGATGTGCAGGTGAGGTAGATTGGCCATGCTAAATTGTCCATAGTGTCCGAAGATGTGCAGGTTAGGGGGTTAGCCATGGGAAATACAGGGATTGGGTGGGATACTCCTCAGGAGGGTCAGTGTGGACTTGATGGGCTGAATGCCCTGCTTGCACACTGTAGGGGCTCTTAAAAAAAAGTAGGCCATTGAGTCCACAGTTCTGTACATTGAGCTGTAAAACCTCTGTGTCATTCTCACCATTTGCCTTCCCAACCATTTTTGTGTCATCCGCAAACTTGGTTACAATACTTTCACCTACATTGCTGATTTGATAATCCTCAACTCCACTTTCCTGCCTCTACATCATAACCCTTGATTCTCTTACTGATTAAAAATCTGTCTATCACAGCCTTGAATGTACATTATGATCCAACTTCTACAGCCCAGTGGTGAATTCCACTACCCTCTGAGAGAAAGTAATCCTCCTCATTTTTGTTTTAAACGTGAAAACCCTGATTCTGAGATTATGCTCTCTAGTCCTAAACTCTCCCACAATGGGAAGCAACCTTTCCATATCTACCCTGCCAATTCCCCAAGACCCTTGCATTTTTCAATAAGTTGCCTTCCATTCTTCTAAACTCTAATAATACAGACCCAAGTTACTTAAACTGTCCTGATACACAGTCCCTCCATATCCAGGATCAACCAGTGAACATTCTCTGGACTATCTCCAATGCCAATATATCGTTACTTAGAGAAGATGAAAACTGTACAGTATTCCTGGTATTGTCTGACTACTGGCTTGTGTGATTTCAGCAAGTCTTCACAATTTGTATTGTCCAATCCCTTTGAAATAAAGGTCAACATTTCATTTGTTTTTCCTATTACCTGCTGAACCTGTATACTAGCTATTTGTGATTTATGCACAGGCAGTCCCAAATGCCTCTGTGTTATAACTTGTTGCAAGCTTTCTCCATTTAATTAATATTCAGCTCCTCCATTCTTCCTGCAAAATTGATAACTACACATTTTCCCACATTATATTTCATCAGCCATGGTTTTGCCCACTCGCTCAACCTATCTATGTCCCTTTGTAGATTCTTTGCATCTTCCTCACCATTTGCCTTCACAACTAATTTTGTGTCATCCGCAAACTTTGTTACGGTATATTCACTTTCTTCATCCAAGGTATTAATATATATTGTAAATAATTGTGTGCCAGCACTGATCACTGTGGCACTCCATTAGTTACAGGTTGCTGTAGTGATTGGAACCAGGTAGACTATGAGGTTTCTGAATGGGGTTGTTAACCTGAGCCAATCAGGAAAGCCTTGGCTGACCAACATAACCAGAGATTAAAATCGCCTCAGTTGAGGACTGACTCTGAGCTGGTTGACCATAGCTAGTGTACAGTGCACATGTAAATAAAGGTTGATTTGGTGATGGGATACTGGCCTCTGTGGAGTTATTTCAGTGGCAAGAGGAAAAACAAGATGTTCCTGAAGAACACTCCCTCGCAACAGCCATCTTGGAGTTGGGGTAAGTATTTTTGGCATCATGCCTCGATTTGGGAAGCTTGATTCATTTGACCCTGCTGTCAAAGATTGAGCCCAGTATGAGGGAAGAATGCAATGATTTTCTGGGCAAATGATATTGGGCCAGATGGAAATCCATGAGTAATCCTTCTGACTGCCTACGGACTCGCACTATTTTTGACTAAGGGGCTTAACTTTCCCAGAGGTACCGGACACAAAAACTTTCCAAGAGTTGATAGAGTTGGTTAAGGAATGCTATGACCCCGAACCTCCTCTAATCCTGAGACGCTATCAGTTTTATTCGGCTGTTAGGGAACTGGGGGAGTCTGTATCAAGATTTTTGACAAGGTTACGATGACTGGCAGAGGCATGTGATTTTGGGTTAATCCTGAATGAGATGCTGAAAGATGATTTGGTATGTGAGATTAATGATGTCACAAGTGTGTAGTAGCTGGAGCCCAACTGGGCTTCAAACAGGCATTGCAGCTGGCCTTGTCATTAGAAAATGTGTCAAGTGGAGCTTGGGAACTACAGGGCATCCCAATGGAAGTGAACACCCTCACCCCTCCAACTGAGCTTGGGGAACACCACTTGAGTGTAGGTTATCACAGAGCCTCACGCAAGGCATATCCTGAGCAGAGGGACCCCAGGTCAACCCACAGCAGGACCCAACAACAAAACTGAGCTTTGGACAATTGGCTGAAAAGTTCTTCAGGATCTGGGACAGCAAGCCATTGTTATTGCTGTGGATATGCAGGCTCAAGACAGCACAGGAATCCTACAAGGCTCGACCTGAGTAAGAAAACTCATAGGCAGGTACCCAGGAGAGTACACATCCTGGACAGTTCCCCTACATGTGTGTTGGAACAATTAAATTGATTAGTGACATTCAAATCGGAACCAATTAAAATTGACGTTTGGTTAAATGGTCACCCAGTTCCCGTGGAGGCTGATACCAGTGCAGCTGTATCTGTGGTTTCAGAATCTGTCTTCAACAAGATTCACTCAGGACTTCAACCTTAAAGCTTGTGCAAAACCTCAGTCAGACTGAGAACATACAGTGGGGAACCGTTGCAAATTAAGGGAACAGCTTTGATTCCAGTCCCTTATGGGAAGCAGCTGGTGCAGTTACCACTTAAAAAGCTCGGGTCCAAGCCTATTGGGACAGAATTGGTTGAGAAAGATTTACCTTGATTGGCTCAACATTTTTCACTTGGAAAATGGCTGCCTCAGTGAAGTCCGAGTGAAAGAGTCAAGAGTTTTTCAGGAAGGGCTTGGAACTATCAAAGGGGCTAAAGTCAATTTACATGTTGACCAGGACGCAATTCTGAGATTTTGCAAGGCCCATCCAGTGCCATTAGCCTAGTGGGTAGAAGTACAGATGGAAATCAGGAGGCTGGAGAGTGAAGGAATCATCGAACCAGTGTAGTTTGCAGAATGGGCAGCATTGGTTGTATAAATTGTGAAGTCTGATGACTCGATTTGCCTTTGTGGAGATTTTAAGCAAACGGTAAGCCATTTCTCACAGCTGGATAAATGCCCGATCCCTCGCATAGAGGACTTGTACACAAATTTATTGTCGGGGGTGCTATCCTTTACGAAGCTGCACATGAGCCATGCCTACCTGCAACTGCGACTGGATGAGGGGTCCCAGATATATGCTACAATTAATACCCATAAGGGTTAATACCGATATACAAGACTGCTGTTTGGGGTATCATCAGCCTGCACCCTTTTTCAGTGGACCATGGAGAACCTTTTACTAGGGCTACCCCAGGTTGCTAATTATCTGGATGACGTACTAATAACTGGGAAGACCAATAAAGAGCACTTGGAGAACTTGGACGCAATGCTTAAAAGTCTCTCCCAGGCAGGCATGAGGCTTACAAGGCAAAAATGTGTGTTCCAGGTGCCCCAAGTGACCTACTTGGGTTACAGAGTTGACAAAACTGGGTTACACCCATTGGAGGGGAAGTGAGGGCGATCAAAGGAGTCCTGGCACCCGCATCTTTACAAGAGCTTAGGTCTTTCTATGGGTTAGTGAATTCATACATTACCTGGCCTCCATCCTGGCAACGTTACACCTGCTATTGAAAAAGGATCAGCCCTGGAGATGGTCACAAAGCTAAGAAGTAGCCTTTAGGGAAGTGAAAAAGCAGCTATCATCATCTAAGGTGTTGGCTCAATATGATCCCAAGCAAGATCTGGTGCTGACATGTGATGCCTCCTGCATGGTATCAGGGTAGTGTTGGCTTACAGGTGGCCCAGCAGAAAGGAACACCCGATAGTGTATCCTTCCCGAACTCTGGCTGATGCTGAATGCAAATATGCCCAGCTAGAGAAGGAACGTTTGGTGGTCATCTTTGGTGTGTGGAAGTTCCACCAGTGCCTTAATGGATGGGAATTTGTCATAGTAATAGATCACAAACCCCTGCTAGGGTTACTGAAGGAAGACAACGCAGTGCCGCCCACAGCTTCCAGCAGAATTCAGCATCGGGTCCTTATTCTCAGCATGTACAAGTACAAGCTGGAACACCGTCCTGGAAACCAAATGGCTAATGAAGATGCTTTGCGCTACCTCCCATTGGCAGATACTCCATCAGTGGTGCCTCCCCTGAAAGAGTCTGTTTTGGTGTTAAGCTTTCTGACCACCCTTCCAGTCACTGCAGCCTATATCCGACTGTGGACACAAAAAGATCCTGTCCTAGGTAAACTGAAAGAGTTGGTGGTAAAGGGGGAAACAGAAGGGCCATCACAGCTAGGATTGAGATATTTTTGGACCTGGCAAGACCG